GTACTGGCTCTCTGTTACACACTGTTGTCAAGTACTGGGCATGTACTGGCTCTCTGTTACACACTGTTGGCAAGTACTGGGCATGTACTGGCTCTCCTGTTACACACTGTTGGCAGAAGTGCTGGGCATGTACTGTCTCTGTTACACACTGTTGGCAAGAATTACTGGGCATGTACTGGCTCTCTGTTACACACTGTTGGCAAGTACTGGACATGTACTGGCTCTCTGTTACACACTGTTGGCAGATACTGGACATGTACTGGCTCTCTGTTACACACTGTTGGCAAGTACTGGACATGTACTGGCTCTCTGTTACACACTGTTGGCAAGTACTGGGCATGTACCGGCTCCTGAATGTACCTGAACCTGCTCCAGTGTTGGTCAAGTCTGGTCTTGAAACAGCTCACACTCGGTGCCGTCACAACACTCTCTGGCAGGTTGTTCCAACAGTTCACAATTCTCACTCCGAAAAAGTTTGCCCTCACAGTTTTCTGGACTTGCGGCTTCTTCAATCTTGAGCTGTGACCCCTTGTGGGGCGAGCGTCCGCCAGCTCCAGGTAAGGACACTCAACTGAGTAGTGCCCCCTGAGATGCTTATAAACCTCAACTAGGTCACCCCTTGCCCGTCTGTAGTATAAGCTAGGCAAGTTCAGGCGCTCCAATCTCTCAGGGTAGCTGAGGTGCCGAAGTGCAGGCACCAGTTTGGTGGCCCTCCTTTGAACATTTTCAACCAACTGACAGTCCCTAGCATATCTCGGGGACCAGATGGGGTGACAGTACTCCAGATGGGGAAGCACTTCACTCCTGAAGATCGTCACGAGGGACGGACCGTCTAGATATCTGAACGATCTTCTCATAAGACCTACTAGTTTAGTAGCCTGATTCACCTTCTTCTCACAATGGCCCGAGAACTTCAGCTCATTGTCAACATACACACCTTGGTCCTTCTCACATTCAGTCTCGACTAGTGCAGTTTCATCATCCCGTTGGTACGCCCCAGGTGCATCCTCTTACACTTCGTGACATTGAATCTCAGCAGCCATTTCTTCGACCATTCCTGGAGCCCACAGAGGTCCTTCTGCAGCTCTTCACAGTCCGCTTGGTTCTTGATTTCCCGAAATAACTTGGCGTCATCGGCAAACATTTGTATGGAGGAGTGTACAGCGTCAGGCATGTCATTTATGAAACAAACAAACAACAGCGGGCCCAATACACTGCCCTGTGGTACCCCACTTGTGACAGGTTTAGATTAGCTATTCCGTGCATCTGAAATGCCTTACAATAAACGCCTAATATTTTAACATAGCAAAATATAAACTTACAATATCTTAACAGAACAAAATATACATTTACAATATTTTAACAAAATATAAATTTACAACATTTTAACATAACAAAAACAAAGGAAGTTGTACAATTATAATTCATCAAATATCAGTTTAACAATTTCTTCATCACAGTAATTAAGAACATGACTGATGTGAGAGTCATGTCCCAGTTTACCACACCCTAGCCTCCAGTACCCGTTTACCACACCCTAGCCTCCAGTACCCGTTTACCACACCCTAGCCTCCAGTACCACACCTAGCCTCAGTACCCGTTACCACACCTAGCCTCCAGTACCCGTTTACCACACCTAGCCTCCAGTACCCCAGTTTACCACCCCTAGCCTCCAGCCCGTTTACCACACCCCTAGCCTCCAGTACCCGTTTACCACCTAGCCTCCAGTGCCGTTTACCACACCTAGCCTCCAGTACCCCAGTTTACCATACCCTAGCCTCCAGTACCCATTTACCACACCCTAGCCTCCAGTACCCGTTTATCACACCCTAGCCTCCAGTACCCGTTTACCACACCCTAGCCTCCAGTACCGTTTACCACACCTAGCCTCCAGTACCCCAGTTTACCACACCTAGCCTCCAGTACCCGATTTACCACACCCTAGCCTCCAGTACCAGTTACCACACAACCTCCAGTACCCGTTACCACACCCCTAGCCTCAGTACCGTTACCACCTGTATCCAGTACCGTTTACCACCTAGCCTCCAGTACCCGTTTTACCACACCCTAGCCTCCAGTGCCCGTTTACCACCTAGCCTCCAGTACCCCAGTTTACCACCCTAGCCCCCAGTTTACTACACCCCTAGCCCCCTCTGTACCACACCTTAGCCCCCCTCTGTCCACACACCTAGCCCCCAATGCATCACTACCACAGTTAAAACAATTTCCTGCTTTGTTTTCCTTATATATGCTCTGTGTAAAAATTGTCTTTCGTTTAGTTTTGTTCTGCCTGTCCCTTGGTCACTGCCACCTGATTACCTGAAACATAATTACAGGTATCGAAATTGCTTTAACCTGAAGACTTGTTGAGTGATATTTTTGACGAGGTTAGGTTAGGTTCACTACAATACTCATACTACAAGTTCACTACAATACCAGTACTATACTATAACACCTGTACAGTACTACATTACAACACCTGTACAGTACTACACTATAACACCTGTACAGTACTACATTACAACACTGCAATTACTACACTATAATACCTGTACAGTACTACACTACAACACCTGTACAGTACTACACTACAACACCTGTACAGTACTACATTACAACACCTGTACAGTACTACACTACAACACCTGTACAGTACTACATTACAACACCTGTACAGTACTACATTACAACACCTGTACAGTACTACACTACAACACCTGTACAGTACTACAACACCAGTACTGGGAAGGAGTGTCAGAGGTAGTTGAGTGAGCGCAGTAGCATCAATGACCAACTCGTGTGTATGAAAGGCGCCGTAAAATAAGGATAATGTTTTGCTAGAGACCAAGTTATTCTCCTCATGTTAAACGGTGCTGGAGGCTAACTAGCCTCCCCATATCATGTCCTGTGTCAATGTCCTGTAATACATTTGTCCTCAACAGTACCGTGAGTGAGTGCATAAGGGCGATAATTTATCTCGTACAACAACTGAGGGAAGAGACCACTCAGGAACATACAGTTGTTATTATTCCTCACAGATGTATTAATCCTACATCACACAAGATATATATGATGCTGCCCGGACCATTGACACAGTTAGTTATATAAAGGGAACTGCCGCTACAGGTCAATCAAATTGTGCCTTAAAATGCTACATCCAAGAATCCATTGTCATCCTTCACCTGAACAAGTTGAAGTGATGCAGGACTTCATTACATCTCGTTATAGAGTGAAGGATGGCCTTATGGACCAGATTATGGGCTAGGGAGGTTCACACTGACCTTGGTTTATTATGATGTTTGGCGTGGTATCCGTATGCTGCACGACCATGGGCACGTATGCCAAGTATACAGAGGAGACTCACTGTTTATAAAACCAGGTAAAGTTACTGGAGCCCTACCAAGGTTACCTGGGGTGTGGCTGTTGTTAGTTTTGGTTGATTATGTTTCGTTATTTCTTTTGTTATAATAAATTTATTTGTATTATTTTGTTTTTTATTATGATAACCATAATTTTTGTGGTCAATTATTGTCACTGTTGATACAATTGTTTGTGTGTGTGTGGAGCTGAAATTATCTACAAAGTTACAGTATATATCGAGCAGTGAGACATGGGTCACATACAGGAGGCACCTCAAAGGTGATACCTTTCACCAACATAGTCTACATTCTATCCTCCAGTACACACAACACCTACATGGCTCTGGTACACACAACACCTACATGTTCTTTACACCAGCCCATGTTCTCTACAACACCTACATGTTCTGGTACACACAACACCTACATGTCTCTGGTACACACAACACCCCATGACTCTGGTACACACAACACCCAGAGTCTCTGGTACACACAACACCTACATGGTCTCTGGTACACACAACACCTACATGTTCTCTGGTACACACCACCTACATGTTCCTGGTACACACAACACCTACATGTCTCTGGTACACACAACACCTACATGGCTGCACAACACCTACATGGCTCTGCACACAACACCTACATGTTCTGGTACACACAACACACATGGCTCTGGTACACACAACACCCACATGGCTCTGGTACACACACACCTACATGCCTGGTACACACAACACCTACATGTTCTCTGGTACACACAACACCTACATCTCTGGTACACACAACACCCACATGGCTCTGCACACAACACCCACATGGCTCTGGCACACAACACCACATGGCTCACACACAACACCCACATGTTCTCTGGACACACAACACCCATGTTCTGCACACACAACACCCACATGATCTCTGCACACACAACACCTACATGTTCTCTGACACACAACACCTACATGGCTCTGGACACACAACACCTACATGTTCTCTGGTACACACAACACCTACATGTTCTCTGGCACACACAACACCCACATGTTCTCTGCACACACACCTACATGGCTCACACACAACACCTACATGGCTCTGCACACAACACCTACATGTTCTCTGGTACACACCACCCACATGGCTCTGGCACACAACACCCATGGCTCTGGTACACACAACACCTACATGGCTCTGTACACACAACACCCACATGTTCTCTGGACACACAACACCTACATTTCCTGCACACACAACACCTACATGGCTCTGGTACACACAACACCTACATGGCTCTGCACACACAACACCCACATGGCTCACACACACCCCACATGTTCTCTGGTACACACAACACCTCCATGTTCTCTGGCACACACAACACCTACATGATCTCTGGTACACAAACACCCACATGTTCTCTACACACAACACCACATGGCTCTGGTACACACAACACCACATGTTCTCTGGTACACACAACACCTACATGTTCTCTGGTACACACAACACCTACATGTTCTCTGGTACACACAACACCTACATGTTCTCTGGTACACACAACACCTACATGTTCTCTGGTACACACAACACCTACATGGCTCTGGTACACATAAGCTGGATGAGTAAAAAATAATACCACACTAAGATAAATTATTTTATTAAGCCATACAGTATTACCACACTGTTTATTATATACAAATAATAAATGACAATACAGTATCAGTCCTATGAATGACATGATGTATAAAACAGTGACATTATGTGTAGTGAAGTTTATACAGTCACTCAAAAACTTAGGTACAGTCACTCAAAAACTTAGGTACAGGCACTCAAAAACTTAGGTACAGTCACTCAAAAACTTAGGTACAGTCACTCAAAAACTTAGGTACAGTCAATCAAAACTTTAGGTACAGTCACCAAAACTTAGGTACAGTCACTCAAAAACTTAGGTACAGGCACTCAAAAAAACTGTACACGAGAATGACTATGTATGGTGGAGTGTGTGTACATGAGTATGACTGTACGTATGGTGGAGTATGTGTACATGTATATGACTGTACATAGGTGTGTTGTACAAAACTATCTCCAAAATCTACATAATGACCTCACACTACATAATGACCCCACACTACATAATGACCTCACACTACATAATAACTCACACTACATAATGACCTCACACTACATGACCCCACACATGTTACACTACATAATGACCCCCACTACTATAATGACTCACACTACATAATGACCACACTACATAATGACCTCACACTACAATGACCTCACACTACATAATGACCACACTACATAATGACCTCACACTACATAATAACCTCACACTACATAATGACCCCACACTACATAATGACCTCACACTACATAATGACCCCACACTACATAATGACCTCACACTACATAATGACCTCACACTACATAATGACCTCACACTACATAATGACCTCACACTACATAATGACCCCACACTACATAATAACCTCACACTACATAATGACCTCACACTACATAATGACCTCACACTACATAATGACCCCACACTACATAATAACCTCACACTACATAATGACCCCACACTACATAATGACCTCAATCTACATGTGACAATGGAAAAAAATACTACAAAAATTATAACATTGCTGTAGATTTAGGAGATTTTCTCATACTGTAGCTGTAGTTATGAAAGGGTTGGTGGTAGATGTGACGCTGTTGTTTATTCTTGTACAAAAAACAAAGACAGTGTTTTGGAACCCGTACATTGAGGGCACTAAGGCTCTTCAACAACACCATTGTTTTTTTTTTTAATATTTACAAAACTTTGAAAAGAACGGCAGGACGTTTTAAAAATTTTTTGTGTGTGGTCGTACAGTTCCCTTGAGTTACGGCAGTTTAAGTTATGGATAATTTATTTCTCCGGGAATTTGATCTTTTTTTTGTGTGTGAGGGAAGTGTGTTAATATACTAAGTTCGAAGCGAAACTTTTTTAATTCTCTAAGGTGTTCAGGTGTCGCCAACGAGATTTTGAGTCGAAGGAAAATATAGATCAGAAACGTAACTCAATGGTAAATCAAGGGAAGAAAGTACCACATTCATTAAAGTATTCTGAGCAACTATGAATCCCATGATGATTGATGACATCTCTTATCACAGTTATACAGGGCGTCCAATAAAGGTCCGACTTATTTTAAAATCTAATGACCGTGGTATTTAAACTTGACGAACAATTTTAAATTTTTATTTTTTCTCATTTTTTATGGCTTCCACATGTGTACTGTTGTTTGAGGTCGAGTTGGGTTGTTTGAGGTTAGGTTAATAAGTTTTAAAATAAGTCAGATACAGTAATCTATGGGCCCAGTACAGTATAAGCAGACAATCAACACTTTCCCCCACATATTAAAAAATGTTCCTTATGATGAAGAAAAATTATTTACCTACTGACAACATTTTACTCAATACTCCAGCATAAACTACAGTCAGTCGCGAACTACAATAAAGCAAAACCCGGACATTACAGAATTTACCACGGCAGTTTACGGTCACAGTAGCCCCGGGTCATTTCTCGAGAGTTGGGGCCGATAACGACGACAAAATAAATACCCAAATCACCTGAGATTATCAATATTTCGTTCCTGTAAACTATTTGTAAGTCCTAGTGTCGACCCTTAAAGGACCGAGACACACCGGCCAATCACGACATAACCCCAGGCTACTGTGTCCCCAATTGAATATCCCGTAACTGTCGTGTAATCGATAAAAAAAAAAAACAGTAATGGTACAGAGACAAAAATGCTTCATTATGGAATACAGTGTTTGATTATGGCTGCCAACTTGGTGAGTCACATCAGGTGTCTGGGAAGCGAGTCAAGGAGAATTTTCTTTCGCTATTTGAGTGTGGGAGATGTATTAGGGCAGTCAGTAAATTACGTGACCCATTAATAAACCTGATGATATTATTTAGTGAAACCTCCACATAATGGAATTTCCTCTCTATACTGCATAGTTCATTAGATGGAGGTTTCACATCTAACGGACCCTCGATATAATGGACTTACTATAGTTCGTAAAATAGAGGTTTCACGGTTAGACAAAAACATATAGGGTTTATTAGACTTGACGAAAAACATATGATATTTTCTCGTCCTGGGAGCATTCCACCGCGTTCCAGAGATTCTTAAGTGGATCAGATAATTTATGACACACCCTGTATACCACAACACAGACACCCTCAAACTTTGGTCAATATAGAGCTGAATATTACAGGAGATTAAAACAAAATAAATAAATAAATCAATAGAAGACCTTTCATTAAACCTAAAATGAAAAACGTGGAAACGCAACAAAATTAAAAGAAAAGAAATAGCTGTAACAATGACAATAAATGATAATGAGAGGAGAGTTGAAGTCGTTTACTGTGAGAGGTAATGACTACTAACAATGGACGACCTACAAAAAGCATTGCCTCTTCCTCATTACACTCACAAATCACCAAGCTTTCACACTTTCCTTATATTTCACCCATTGGTCTTATCTCTGTACAATAGCTTCTCTTTGGAAACTCAACAAAACAGAAAGTAATATATATTTAAATTCCTCTCAATGAACGACTCTTTTAAAATAGAATTTATTCACAATTGAAAACCACAAGAGATCAACAATTTTACATGTCAAAATCTCTCCCATCAACGAACCTCATCGAATTATCGACGAATCATCAACGAATCATCAACGAACCTCAACGAATCATCGACAAACCTCAACGAATCATCGACGAACCTCAATGAATCATCGACGAACCTCAACGAATCATCACCTCGGTCGTCTTTTAATTAATTCCCCTTAAGATAATACAAATAATTTCAATCCTTTTATTCGTACAAACTAAAATAATTAAGGCACATTAACTCTGAATAAACATTACATCAACTAAAGATCAATCAATAGTATTCTTAAAAGTGAAAATACATGCCAGTACTGAGTTAGAGCCTTGAGTACAGGTGACGACAGAGCCCTAGAGTACTGGTGACGACAGAGCCCTAGAGTACTGGTGACGACAGAGCCCTAGAGTACTGGTGACGACAGAGCCCTAGAGTACTGGTGACGACAGAGCCCTAGAGTACTGGTGACGACAGAGCCCTAGAGTACTGGTGACGACAGAGCCCTAGAGCCCTAGAGTAATGGTGACGACAGAGCCCTAGAGTACTGGTGACAACAGAGCCCTAGAGTACTGGTGACAACAGAGCCCTAGAGTACTGGTGACAACAGAGCCCTAGAGTACTGGTGACAACAGAGCCCTAGAGTACTGGTGACAACAGAGCCTAGAGTACTGGTGACAACAGAGCCCCAGAGTACTGGTGACAACAGAGCCCTAGAGTACTGGTAGACTGGTGACAACAGAGCCCTAGAGTACTGGTGACAACAGAGCCCTAGAGTACTGGTGACAACAGAGCCCTAGAGTACTGCTGACAACAAACTTAAACTATAAAGATTGGTTTTAAAAGAAGTACTGGAATCAATATAATGGTAAGACTTATATTCCCACTATCCCAGGTCCTGCCAACAATATCCCAGATCTCGCCAACAATATCCCAGATCTCGCCAACAATATCCCAGGTCCTGCCAACAATATCCCAGATCTTGCCAACAATATCCCAGGTCCTGCCAACAATATCCCAGGTCCTGCCAACAATATCCCAGATCTTGCCAACAATATCCCAGATCCTGCCAACAATGTCCCAGGTCCTGCCAACAATATCCCAGGTCCTGCCAACAATATCCTTCGATGACTTTTCAATAAGATATAATATGAGACTGAGTAACATGAGATGGGATGACAAGTGGGGGCTGAATATTTACACTGCATTATAAAAAGTACAAAAAAGGTGATCCGTCTACGTTTGAATGTGATGATGGCACGTACTACAGCACATGGTCGTACGTACACAAGTCTCGTCGTCTAGTATAGCCTAAAGATAGATAATTTCAGTACATATCACCTGTTATTCTGCAATGAGTTCAGACACTAGGAATTCTTCACATATTGTACATCCAGCATTATGAGCAACCACTTAAAATTCTTTGGGGTAATAAATCTTTCATGTCACGGCTTCACCATTGGAGTGTATAAACCTGACGCGTACCGTACTGACATATACATTTCCTCGCCGTCGATCTTGCTCTCGGTTCACTAGACGTCACCAGGCGCTCTATAACGTTGCTTTCCGTATAAAGTTTTTGCCGGATTGATCGACGAGAGGATGGCTTTGCACAGAAGACCAGGATTATCTAGTGGGTCAAGTGTGTGGAGACGTCACCGTACAATAAACACACAACTGGGACTTAGAGAGGAAGAGTCCTAAGCCGTGTTTTCAGGGGGACGTTCATCACGCGATAGTTCATGTTCGTGGAAGTACTCCCTCACTATGGCCTTCAATCCCATGTACTGTACATTCTTTAAGGCTTAAGGGATGATTTAATATCGTACAAAATATTTAACCTTTTAATACATCACTAAAACCAACTCATGAGACTAATATAATCTTCATGTACCTAATCCAATAGTTTAGAAAATCCCAAATGAAATCTAAGCAATGTTGTAAATATTTGAGAAATTTGGTTTATTTGTGTTTCTTTTTTTTTATCCTATTTACTGAGGTGAAGTTTATTCCTTCAGTTCCTCTGTGGTAGGACAAGTCACCTGCTCCAGTTCTTGGTGTTTCTGAATCATTATTAATAAATATAACCTTAAGAAAATATGATGTGGTGTACAAGTCTCTGTGTTCTGTTGTACAAATTGTTGAGACTTAGTTTGCTGTACAGAATTGTTTCACATTGTACAGTACTGTGTCACATTGTACAGTACTGTGTCACATTGTACAGAACTGTGTCACATTGTACAGTACTGTGTCACATTGTACAGAACTGTGTCACATTGTACAGACAGTGTCACATTGTACAAACTATCGACACTTTAGATTACATTGTACGGTACTGCGTCATGTTGTACAAACGCTCGCCATCGATACAACAATCGTCAGCTGATCAACAACACTTAAAAAAATAATCTGGTGTATCGTCACCACGTCACGCCGGACAAACTGCCCACACGACGCTTCCGTATCCCCCACTGGTCGGTCGAACAACGTCTTGTAAATGCGGGACAGACTAATAACTGCAGAGCTATGACAAGATTCCTATTTCAAGTGAGGAGGTTCTGGGACTGTTCAACATCTGGGTCATCTGGGGTACTGAGACTCCTGCTGCTGCTGGCACTGCCCTCGTCGTCCACCTCTCCTGTAGACCACATTTAATTATCACCTTATATGACCTTTTGGCTCACAACTAAGGGTCTATTAATGTCTCACTACTAAGGCTATAATTTAAGGGTCTTATTTTATTGACTCAAATCTAAGGGTCTTATTTTATTGACTCAAATCTAAGGGTCTTATTTTATTGACTCAGAACTAAGGGTGTGATTCTACTTAATGGGTAAGTTATACAAGGCATCTTAAATCTTACTTAATTTATAAAGACTTAAATGCCGTCTTAATCTATAAATGAGAAGAGTTATCAAGGGATTCAATGCCATCTGAACTGATATCTATAAACACTAAAGGATCCAATACCACTTAAATTGATAGTCATAAACAATAAAGAATCCAATGCTATTATAATAAAAAAATCTTACTGATGGACATATTTAAAGTTATTTCTTATTATAGATAGAATTTGATAGTCATAAAGGGGACATAACTAAGCGTATGGGTAGGTGTTAGTGATGTATGAGGCAGGAAAGTGTTAGGGTTTCTCTCAGTACTTTGAGCGAACGGAAGTGACAGCAGGGATAGAGTATTGGGGGTTAATTACCGTACATCGTTGGGTAGGGTTTGGTTTGGTTTGGTTAGGTTTGGCTTGATTAAGTTAGATTGGGTTATGTCAGGTTAGATCAAGTTAGGCTGGGCTTGGTGAGGTCAGGTCAGATTACATTCGGTTAGATCTCCAGGTCAGGTCAGGTTAGATTAAGTCAGTTGCTCGCTCAGAGAGAAATCAACAAAAGTGAAACATAAAAGAAAAGTTATTTTCTATTTTCCTACCAGACTAAAGCAGGGGAAGGTCAAGGTAGCAGGGAGGAAGGTCAAGGCAGCAGGGGAAGGTCAGGGCAGCAGGGGGGAAGATCAGGGCAGCAGGGGGGAAGGTCAAGGCAGCAGGGGGGAAGATCAGGGCAGCAGGGAGGAAGGTCAGGGCAGCAGGGGGGAAGATCAGGGCAGCAGGGAGGAAGGTCAGGGCAGCAGGGACGGATTTACAAACAAACTTATGACTAACATTAGACCTACATTTCATGCCTAAATTTTTAGTAAGGCCGCTCATGCAACCCCCTCCCCCCATCACCAATATCCATGCACCTTCGCCCCCTCCCTCCCCTACCCTCACCTTGACCCCCTCCCTCCCCTCCCCCTAAATAAATTTAAAACATATCTCAAGTGTCATAGTTAGATGAAATCAAACAAACGGATCAGGAAAGTGATTAATAACAAAAAAAGTAACAAAGTCAAAATTTAACAAAAAGTTCACACACTGGGAGTTTTATTTCAAGGTTAGTAAAACACACACACACACATACATACATACACACATATACATACATATATACACACACACACACACACCATTAACCAACCTCCATTCAGCAGTACAAACTCTTCCAAGTGCTCATAAAACTTGCATTCTGCCGATAAAAAAAAAAAAAAAAATCACGTGAAAAATTCTGGAGTTACTACCGCCGGCCAAATATACCAACATCACGTACGATCAGTTTTAGTCTTCGTCAATTTAAAAAAACATAAACAAATAAATTAGATTCTTCGAAACATTTACCGTGGATGGGTATAAATATCTCGGCTCACTGGATACATTTATATAAACTAATGTTAAATATTCCTCTAATGAATGTGTGAGATAAATATTGTGTAATAAATATTCTCTCGGTATAATAAGGATAATTACAACTATTCCTCAACTGTTCCTTCACTGTGACGGGATGGAACGGGTGGCAGCGTACTTGCCTCTCACCACGGCGTCCTGGATTCGATCCCCGGGCCATACATGAGAAGGGCATTATCCAGTGTTACCCCTACTCAACATAGACTCAACATTTATGCGGGTATTTGATAATTAACCCACTTGATCTTATACTGAACAGAAGAAACATATCCGAATTAGGTGGACGAACAGACAGGCAGACAGACAGCCATCATGAATCACAACATTACCCATAATCCCATATCAGAACGGATTAAAAAAAAATTTCTTTACATAAAAAATAAATAAAACATCACAAGGAAAATATAATAAGCGCATAGAGGCAATATAATCGCTTCATGCTTAGCGGACAAAATGATAAGAGCAGAGCCAATGAAGCGTCAAGAGCTCGAACCTGCGACAATTCTGACAGGTGAGGCAGAAGGGACAACAAGCAAATACCTAATTCAAGCGCGGACGGTACAGAAAATATTAAAACTCATAATATCTACAAAAACTTATGAATATTGTTTTAATGTGTACAGTAATAACAAAAATTACATCAAGGTTAGGTTAGTTTGGTTAGGTTAGCATTAGGGGGGGGTTTGAATCATCAGGTGAGGTAAGCAGGGTTGTCTAATCCTAAAATGCATTCAAGATTAGATTAGGTTAGGTTAGATTAGTATTAGGTTAGATTAGTATTAGGTTAGGTTAGATTAGTATTAGGTTAGGTTAGATTAGTATTAGGTTAGATTTGGTTAGTATTAGGTTATGTTAGCTTAAGTTTGGTTAGGTTATGTTAGCTTAGGTTAGGTTATGTTAGCTTAGGTTTGGTTAGGTTAGCATATACTGGGGCATCTAATCATCACACAAGAGACGTTCTCCTTACCTGCTATAGCCCGGTCACATCTCTCCTTGTCTGCCGCTATATAACAAGAGTTCCAGAAGAAGAAAATGGCACCCATCACGTTGACTACCGCACACATAAACATTGCGTACTGCTTCGACTGGAAAGAGAGAAAAACAATGGAAATCCGGCCATGTGTCTTCTTAACCTCTTCGCTATGGTAAATAACCTGAGGTGGCTAATCTTCAGGTAATCCAACACCATAATAGTAATAATATAAAAAACTCTACATAACTTCTACAGCAAATTTTAACTACACCACAAATTCAATCTACAGAACACTCACCTTAAATTCTACATAATCATCGTTAGAAGGAACTACAGGCCACATGGAAGGACTAATTTCTGTAGTAGTATTAAATATATCAGTAGTCTCGCTAAATAAAGTCATCTGCGTTGTACTTGTGAACGGTGCGACGGTCGTAGTGGTGATGTTCGGTACTTCGATGTATGGCTTAAAAGCATCAGCCACCTGGTGGAAAATGATGAAATTAGTATATATTATATTTACTGTAGCTCCACTGTCTAGGTACACTGTGACCCATAGACGAACCAGGTCGTTACAGGATATTAGGTTAGGTTAGGGTACGTCTGGTCAACTCACAGACTGGCAATGACCTAACGATACATGATCCGGGTATTCAGGTACACAGGTCACGATAATGGTCATCTCGGGTCATGACATGTCAGGTGTTTCGGGTCAGGGAGGCGTGTCAGTCGGCTTAATGAGCGCTGACACCACAAGGTCAGGTCGGAGAGACTTGATACCAACAGGTTATTACAGGTCCGTGAGTGACTCTTTAGTGATAAAAGGTTATAGTTAAGAAATACTCGAGTTATTCCTGTACTGAACACAACGTAAGACTGTCACCAACACCGAATGTGACCCAACTTCTCAATCTCTCTACATGACATGACCTCTCTCTCTCTCTCTACATGACCTCTCTCTCTCTCTCTACATGACATGACCTCTCTCTCCATGACACACACACACACACCTCATCACCTAAAACAGAAGTCATTTAACACAAGTAACCCTCATTAACTGTATTATCCAAAGTTTATATATTAAAACTTTCATTATCGTGTAGAGTGAAACATTAAACACACACACACACACACACACACACACACACATTACTATCTTTACATTAATAGTAAGATCACTTGACTGTCCAAAGCTACTGCATTGTCCTTGTGTTTATTTAAAGAATGATTATATGTTTTTTTTTACTATATTTAAAAACAATCAATTATTCGTTCATAATAATAATAATAATAAAATAACAATAGTAATAATATATATATTCTTACAATTGGTCTGGCATGTATATAGACAATGCCAGGATACAGTGTAAATAAACCATAGAGGTACAGTATAATACAGTATACAGCTTCAGAAATACAGTACCTAGACAGTGTAGGTAAATAACGTTGAAAAGTACGGCAATTTGACCAAGATTACACGACAGGTGTATGGTGTATAAGTGGTTGGTGTATGGTGTATAAGTGGTTGGTGTATGGTGTATAAGTGGTCGGTGTATGGTGTATAAGTGGTTGGTGTATGGTGTATAAGTGGTCGGTGTATGGTGTATAAGTGGTCGGTGTATGGTGTATAAGTGGTCGGTGTATGGTGTATAAGTGGTTGGTGTATGGTGTATAAGTGGTTGGTATGGTGTATAAGTGGTCGGTGTATGGTGTATATGGTTGGTGTATGGTGTATAAGTGGTCGGTATGGTGTATAAGTGGTCGGGTGTATAAGTGGTCGGTGTATAAGTGGTCGGTATGGTGTATATGGTCGGTGTATGGTAAAAGTGGTCGGTGTATGGTATAAGTGGTCGGTGTATGGTGTATAAGGGTTGTGTATGGTATAAGTGGTCGGTGTATGGTGTATATGGTCGGTATGGTATAAGTGGTCGGTGTATGGTGTATAAGTGGTTGGTGTATGGTGTATAAGTGGTTGGTGTATGGTGTATAAGTGGTCGGTGTATGGTGTATAAGTGGTCGGTGTATGGTGTATAAGTGGTTGGTGTATGGTGTATAAGTGGTTGGTGTATGGTGTATGAGTGGTCGGTGTATGGTGTATAAGTGGTCGGTGTATGGTGTATAAGTGGTCGGTGTATGGTGTATAAGTGGTCGGTGTATGGTGTATTTAGTAAACAACTCTCGACTCACCACACCAATGAGGTAAGGGCTGCCGGCATCACCCAGGGCGTGTGAAAAGAGAATCTGGAATGCCTCGGCAGATGATCTTCTTGTGGGGATTACGATATACTGAAATAAATAAATAAACAAATAAATAAATAAATAAATAAATAAACAAATAAATAAGTAAATAAATAAATACTTGTCGGGTAAAATCGTATATGAACAGATTTGAAGGATTTTTTATTGAACTGTAAAAAATCTGATTCAGGTTAAAATGTCTGGTTGCCACAGGTATTTTTTTTTTACTTGACGATTAAACAAATTTGTATAGTACTATTACCTGGTTGGTTAGGTTAGGTAAGGTAAGGTAGGGTTAGGTTAAGGTGTCTAATCATCAGGTGGAATTAGATGAAGATTAACCACCTAAATGCTAACCTAACCTAACCTAAGCTAACCTAACCTAATCTAACCTAACCTACCAAAACTATATCAGACACGACGGCCCAATTAAGGTTAATGAAGATCTGCCCGAAGAAAACGACGACGAACGAGCCAATGGTGTTGTTCTCCGCTAGAACCATCGCCCCGAGGATGAACGGGACGGAGAGCAGGAGGCCAACACCACACACTACAGGATCGGCATAGGGTAATCTGTAGAGAGAGAGAGTAATCAGTATACAGTACTGTACATTGTTCATTCATTTTCTGAGCTCTTTTTAAGTTATTGTCTACTTACATCCAAGAGTTATGACACAACACACACTGAGGCATATAAACAATATTAGTCGCTCTAATATATATGTACACGTACGTTCAGGCTCTTCCACAACAAGTTTTATCAGGGAAATAAATATGTTGACAATAATGAATCAAAAATGTTAAGTATTATGCCACATATAGTCAAATAAATACCCCATCATGACCCACTAGGTACAGGTCCCTTCACTAGTGTGTTTACAGGGGCTCGTCATATAAACATTCCACAAAGCATTACATTGAGATATTTATATTAATGTTTTACTTTACGAGTTTCCTTCTGGCCAATGTAAACAATCACAGAGCTGCCACACTGTACACAAAACCAGATGAGCCCCTGTTAACACACTAGTGAGGGGGCTGTACCTTGCCACACACCCCTCCAGTGAACTCAAATATACACAGGAGCTCCTCTACTTACGAACGAGTTACGTTCCTGAGGCTTGTTTGTAAGTCCAACTTTACTCTCGTAGATACCAAACATATTGTAAAAAATTAAAAGATTATGGATATTTAGTACAGGTATACCATTTAATACAGCCTTAAAACCTGGCTCACTCTTCTCCTCTTAAGTAATGTTTGTTTTATCTGGAATTTTCCTCAAAATAATCCAGTCTCATCCACATTAAACACCTGTTCTGGCAGGTAACCCCCCTCAGTGATGATGTATCTCTGAAAGTTTGTAAGTTGAACGTTCTTAAGTAGAGGAGCACCTGTATATATACTGTATAGAGATATTCTTAAAGTACTGTACCTGATCCGAAGCTTCTGTCCAGCGAAGGAACCGAGTGGCACACCAACGAGCCCGGCGGTCATGGCGATGGCTCCGAAGACGAACGCAACACTAGGAATAAATACAGTTATATCATTATATTACCTTCATCGGTCATTATCACTATTAACACCATCATCACCACCTCTATCATCATCATCACCACCACCACCACCACCATTACCACCACCATCATCACCACCACCTTCATATACAAACAAACTATCGATTATTTTTTGAATACATCAGTTCAAAGATTAAGTTCAGAATACATCAGATGAACTTATTTACCCAGTACCTATACAGTATATTAAGTTCAGTTTAAAGTTTAACTGTATAAAACGTCAGATAAACTTACTCGTCTTTCTTTACGTTGGGGTGATCTTGAACCTTCACTCCAAGCATGGTGAAGATGGGCCCCCACCAGGCTAAAGCTCCGGCCACGAACGTAACGCAGGTGAAGGCTAAGGTTGACAGGACAAAACTCTTACTGTAGGGGGAAGAATTAATCATCATTACCTGTAGTATTATGTAGTGCCAATATCTGTAGTATTATGTAGTGCCAATATCTGTAGTATTATGTAGTGCCAATATCTGTAGTATTATGTAGTGCCAATATCTGTAGTATTATGTAGTGCCAATATCTCTAGTATTATGTAGTGCCAATATCTCTAGTATTATGTAGGGCCAATATCTCTAGTATTATGTAGTGCCAATATCTGTAGTATTATGTAGTGCCAATATCTGTAGTATTATGTAGTGCCAATATCTGTAGTATTATGTAGTGCCAATATCTCTAGTATTATGTAGTGCCAATATCTCTAGTATTATGTAGTGCCAATATCTCTAGTATTATGTAGTGCCAATATCTGTAGTATTATGTAGTGCCAATATCTGTAGTATTATGTAGTGCCAATATCTGTAGTATTATGTAGTGCCAATATCTGTAGTATTATGTAGTGCCAATATCTGTAGTATTATGTAGTGCCAATATCTCTAGTATTATGTAGTGCCAATATCTGTAGTATTATGTAGTGCCAATATCTCTAGTATTATGTAGTGCCAATATCTGTAGTATTATGTAGTGCCAATATCTGTAGTATTATGTAGTGCCAATATCTGTAGTATTATGTAGTGCCAATATCTCTCTTAATCCTTAAATAGTGACTAAATAATCCCCACTCCCTCACCGCCCCCTCCCACACAAGGAACAAGAATCGCCCCCTGTTGAGACCTACTGTTGGTGGGTTTATAAATGCTTACCTATGTAAATACTAAATCAATGTAAACTTGCAAGACAATCATACTGAATACCTGTCAATCAATCAAGCTGGGGTATCTATCAGGTGAAATAAACTAGGGGTCCTATTGGTGCTATTTTAAAGGTGAAATAAACTAGGGGTGCTCTTGGTGCTATTTTAAAGGTGAAATAAACTAGGGGCACCATTCATCAGGTGATCAAAACACACTATAAAACACCACAATACTAACTTGGTAAAGAGGTATTTGAGATCACTAGCAAATGAGGTAGGTTGTAGATGCTGCCCGCCCTCACACTCCCCTCGAGGCGGCTCTTCTAGGAGGAACAGGATGAGGAACACAGCCACCAGACCCATGACCGGCGTGACCCTTAGCCCCCACCGCCAGGCCTCGGGGTGACCACTGCTGGCTGACACTAGGTTGGTCACCTCGGCGCCGATGATGTAACCAAGGCCACTAGAAGGAGAGAGAGGAGATGATTGGTCCTATGTCGACTGGAATTGGGGTGGGGAGGAGGTGGTTAGTCCCAGGTAAGGTCCCTCTCACCTGCCGATGGAGATAATAAGATCTCTCTCTCACCTGCCGACGGGGATGGCAAAGTAGAAGACAGCCAACATCTTGGAGCGTAGGTCCTTGACGAAGAGATCAGAGATAATGGTGGGCGCTATAGTGGAGTAACTGGCCTCTCCGACCCCAACGAGGCAACGACACATCAGGAACAACCCGTAGTTCTGAAGTACAGTCGACAGTCATTAATATAACAGTCTAATACAAAATACAACAGTCTAATACAAAATACAACAGTCTAATACAAAATACAATAGTCTAATACAAAAGTCTAATACAAAAGAAAGCTGTAACTGGACAAAACTAAGGCTGTAATTGAACAAAACTAAACCTGTTATTGGACAAAACTAAAGCTGCAATTGGACAAAACTAAACCAGTTCCAAACCATATGGACAAAGAAATCTCTAATTAAATTCAGGACACGGTAACAAGAGACAGGTTACTATACTGTAAAAAAAAAATTCGACTAATTCATTTCATAATTAAATTTGTAATACATAAAAATACAAAATACAAAATACACTACAGTTAAAGCCCATTACAAGATTAAAAGGAATCGTTAAATCTCTCATTACCAGTTAAGAGGTCACTTGGATGACCTAATTATGTAATGAATAGTTCTCACTGTAAAATTAGATTGTTTATGGTTTGGTAGTTAGTTTAGGCAGGTCAGTTTGGTTAGATTGTGTTGGGTTAGATTGGTTAGGTTTGGTTAGGTTAGATTAAGGTTAAGTAGGATTAAGGTTAGGTTTTTAGGTTAGATTAAGGTTAGGTTTGGTTAGGTTAGATGTGTTTAGTTGTTAGATTGTTGGGTTTTGGTTAGGTTAGATTAAGGTTAGTTTTGGTAGGTGATTAAGGTTAGGTTTGGTTAGTTAGTTCAGGTTAGGTCAGGTTGGGTTAGGTTGATTGTTAGGTTTGGTTTGGTAGTTAGGTTAGGTTAGGTTTGGTTAGTTAGGTTAGGTTAGGTTAGGTTAGTAGGTTAGGTTTGGTAGGTTGGAGTTTGGTTAGGTTAGGCATAGAACTGCTCTGCATATGCCTTATGGTAACAAGAACACATCACCACACTACGAGCTGTCCATATCACCACTACAGCTGTCCATTCAGGTCCGCTATCATTACAGCTGATCATATCAACCACTGCTAGACTACATCAACCATTACAGCTGACTACATCAACCACTACAGCTGACTACATCACTAATTACAGCTGACTACATCAACCACTACGTAGCTGACTACATCACCACTACGCCGGATTACATCAACCACTACAGCTGACTACATCACCACTACAGCTGTCCATCACCACCACAGCTGTCCATCACTTACGGACTACATCAACCACTACAGCATCACATCAACCACTACAGCTGATCACATCACCACTACAGCTGTCCATCACCACTACAGCTGTCCATCACTACAGCGACACATCACCACTACAGCTGACTCATCACACTAAGGTCCATCCATCCACACAGCTGTCCATCATCAGCTGACTACATCACCCACACAGCTGACTACATCACCACTACAGTCCATCACCACTACAGCTGTCCATCACTACAGATGACTACATCACCACTACAGCTGACTACATCACCTCAGTGTCATCACCCTACAGCTGTCCATCACCACTACAGCTGTCCATCACTCTGACTACATCACCACTACAGCTGACTACATCACCACTACAGCTGTCCATCACCACCACAGCTGTCCATCACCACTACAGCTGTCCATCACTCAGCTGACTACATCAACCACTACAGCTGACTCACATCACCACTACAGCTGTCCATCACCACTACAGCCGTCATCACCACTACAGCTGTCCATCACCACTGCTATTGACTACATCACCAATACAGCCGACTACATCACCACTGCACGACTACATCACCACTACAGCTGACTACATCACCACTACAGCTGACTACATCACCACTACAGCTGACTACATCACCACACTGCTGACTACATCACCACTACAGCTGACTACATCAACCACTACAGCTGTCCATCACCACTACAGCTGCCTACATCACCACTACAGCGACTACATCACCACTACAGCTGACTACATCACCACACACTGTCCATCACCACTACGCTGACTACATCACCACTACAGCTGTCCATCACCACTACAGCTGTCCATCACCACTACAGCTGACTACATCACCACTACAGCTGACATCACCACTACAGCTGACCACATCACCACTACAGCTGACTACATCACCACTACAGCTGACTACATCACCACTACAGCTGACTACACCACCACTACAGCTGCCTACACCACCACTACAGCTGCTCACATCAACCACCACAGCAGCCTACATCACCAGTACAGCTGCCTATCACCACTACAGCTGTCCATCAACCACTACAGCTGACTACATCACCACTACAGCTGCCTACATCACCACTACAGCTGTCCATCACCACTACAGCTGACTACATCACCCACTACAGCTGACTACATCACCACTACAGCTGTCCATCACTACAGCTGACTACATCACCACTACAGCTGTCCATCACCACTACAGCTGTCCATCACCACTACAGCTGACTACATCACCACTACAGCTGACTACATCAACTACAGCTGACTACATCACCACTACAGCTGTCCATCACCACTACAGCTGTCCATCACCACTACAGCTGTCCATCACCACTACAGCTGTCCATCACCACCACAGCTGTCCATCACCACTACAGCTGTCCATCACCACTACAGCTGTCCATCACCACTACAGCTGACTACATCACCACTACAACTGTCCATCACCACTACAGCTGTCCATCACCACTACAGCTGACTACATCACCACCAGCTGTCCATCACCACTACAGCTGACTACATCACCACCAGCTGTCCATCACCACCACAGCTATCCATCACCACTACAGCTGACTACATCACCACTACAGCTGTCCATCACCACTACAGCTGACTACATCACCACACAGCTGTCCATCACCACTACAGCTGACTACATCACCACTACAGCTGTCCATCACCACTACAGCTGACTACATCACCACTACAGCTGTCCATCACCACTACAGCTGACTACATCACCACTACAGATGACATCACCACTACAGCTGTCCATCACCACTACAGCTGACTACATCACCACTACAGCTGACTACATCACCACTACAGCTGCCTACATCACCACTACAGCTGTCCATCACCACTACAGCTGATTACATCACCACTACAGCGACTACATCACTACAGCTGTCCATCACCACTACAGCTGACCATCACCACCAGCTGACTACATCACCACCACAGCTGACTACATCACCACTACAGCTGACTACATCACCACTACAGCTGACTACATCACCACTACAGCTGCCTACATCACCACTACAGCTGTCCATCACCACTACAGCTGACTACATCACCACTACAGCTGACTTCATCACCACCACAGCTGACTACATCACCACTACAGCTGACTACATCACCACTACAGCTGACTACATCACCAATTGGCTGCCCATCACCACTGCCACAGCTGTCCATCACTACAGCTGACTACATCACCACTACAGCTGCCTACATCACCACAGCTGTCCATCACCACTACAGCT